AAAAAATAAAAATAAAAAAATAAATATAATAAAAAATAAAAATAAATAAAATGGCAAGATTTATAATATGCTGTGACTTACATCATAAGCACGTTTAAAACATGATGAACAAAAACCTTAGATAACTAAAAAAATGAGGGAAGAGATACACTCCCTTAAAGTTTCATTTAGGGGACTCCAAGCACCAAAGTTGAAAACTGTGCACCAGCCTGGCCAACATAGCGAGACTGCCTCTACAAATAATCATAAGCAAATTAGCCAGGTGTGGTGGCACATGCCTGTGATCTCAACTACCTGGGAGGTTGAGGTGGGCGGAACACTTGAGCCCAGGAGATTGAGACCAACCTGGGCAACATGGCAAAATCCTGTCTCTACAGAAAATTAGCCAGGTGTGATGGTGCACACCTGTAGTAACAGCTACTTGGGAGGCTGAGGTGGGAGGATCACCCAAGCCTGGGAGGTTGAGGATGCAGTGAGCCATGACTGTGCCACTGCACTCGCCTGGGCAATAGAGCAAGACCCTGTCTCAAAAAAAGTCCAAAATCCTCTGCAGACGACACCTGTCTACAGGCCCCATTTGCCTCTGCTCCCCTTGCCTTGCTTTGCAGGGATGTGTGGGTGGCTGAGCAGTGCTGTCTTCCCCATAGCCTGGGCCCCTCCAGGGCAGCCTCCTCACTGACCTCCTTCTCTTCCCCTCCCTCCCTGTCACCTGACAGCTTCCCTGCCACTCTTGCACCAGCGAACAGGTGCCCCGAGTCCTTTATAGAATGACCCTGCCTGGTCTCCTGCCACGCCGGACACACGCCAGATCATTGCTGAGGTGTCCCCCAGCTGACGACACCTGTCCAGCCTCAATAGTGGCTCCCCACGTCTCTGCCCAAGAGCACTCCCTCAGGTGTGGACCCCACGCCTGCTTCTTGCCTCTCTCCCACCTGCCAGGACATCCAGGTCAGAGCCCAGAGAGGCGGCCTCTCAGTGTCAGCGCTGACCCCACTGCTCCCCTCACCTGGGTCAGAAAAGTCCCCAGCCTCCCTGGGGGGCGTCCCTTCGATTTGGGGTTGACAGGATGGAGAGGTTCTTGCCCCAGGACTTCTGCTCTGCAGCGGGAGTCCAGCAAATGCTGGCTGCAGGAGCGCTGGGCACAGCAGCCTCCGTGCATGCGGGCTCTGCCTGGGCCTACCTGGGAGGTTGTCCTCAGCCTACCAGGCTGAGGACAGTGCGGGGCTCACCCCAAGTGTTCTTCCTGCCACTTCTCTGCTCCTCCTGGCCTGAGATGCGTCGCCCGTCTCCACGTGTTTTATTTCTGGCCCAGAGATGTGTTCTAAGGACCCCTAAACTCAGTACCCCTAGGGTGCAGGCCTGCACCCAGGAACCCATCCAGCTGCAAACTCCCAGAAGCACTGGGCCTAGGGCAGGCCTGACTGCCACCCCCACAACCCTGGCCCCATGTAAAGCCTCAGGCCCTGTGGGCTCTACATGCCTGGTCCATGGCCCTGGCGCTCTGCTGAGTGGAGCTGGCAGCCTTGCCTGGAGCCTGGCACACGGCTAGTTCAGGTGAAGTGGACAGCAAGCCATCTCCAAAACCTGCGCTAGCAGGGGTGAGAGGCCACATGAAACCCTGGTCATCACTGACATGGGCACACATCTCGAGGTGGAAAGGCTGCTGGGGGTCACTCGAGGGTTTATTTCAGGGTGGGCGGCAGTGACTGCCCCGTGGCAGGAACAGGCTGGCATATGCCAAAGTCAGGGCAGCAGCAGCTGGGTTCAACCTGGCAGCCCCACACCCACACACAGCCCCGCCTGGCTGTGAGACAAGGGCAGGCCACAGGAGCCACGGAGCAGATGGAAACAGCATCGTGGCCAGGCCGAACACATGGTTTCGCTGCTGTCAGCCACTGCAGATCAGTTGGGCTCCTGATGCTTCTCTGGTCCTGTAGATTCTGGCACCACTGGGTAGGAGGGGTCTGCCACCCCGTCGCCACAGCTGCAGACAGGGAAGCGGATGGCCAGTGAGTCAGGCTCCCACAGCAGGCTGGGAGCTGCACTCTTTTCCCACTGTGGGTTTTACAAGGGGACTTAGTTTACCCTGTTAGCCTATGCAAGACGGGTGACATGACCCCGAATGTCCAGGAAACGGTGACTGCTGAAGCCTAGGATAAGCTGAGGAAGGTGGCTGGCGGAGGACTAAGGCTGCAGCGGGTTGGGGGGCATGTGGGTGGGGGTGAGGGGAGCAGGGGAGAGCAGGCTAGAGCATGTTCTAGAGCCAGCCTGTCCTTGAGGTAGACAGCAGAAGTGCTCACTTTTGCAGAGACTGCAGTTCAGGAGGTAAATCGCATCCCATGTAAACACCATTTGTAATACTGTATTCCAGCAAAGCACCAAAACAGGGGTCCTGTTGGCAATAACAATTAGCCTGGCATGAGAGCAAGTGAAGGCCCCATGTCTCCTGGTGCCACGTGCGTCTCATCCCCAGTGACCTGGACCCTCCCTCCTTTTCTTTTCTTTTTTTTGAGACGGAGTCTCGCACTGTCGCCCAAGTTGGAGTGCAGTGGTGCGATCTCGGCTCACTGCAAGCTCTGCCTCCTGGGTTCACGCCATTCTCCTACCTCAGCCTCCCGAGTAGCTGGGACTACAGGCGCCCGCCACCTCGCCCGGCTAGTTTTTTTCTATTTTTTAGTAGAGATGGGGTTTCACCGTGTTAGCCAGGATGGTCTCGATCTCCTGACTTCGTGATCCACCCGCCTTGGCCTCCCAAAGTGCTGGGATTACAGGTGTGAGCCACCATGCCTGGCCCGGACCCTCCCTCCTTAAGTGATCACAGCCCACCCAGTGCCTGAAAACTCACTCGAACGAGAACATGGGGGTTTCCCAGCACTATCAGCAAAGCTTTGGGTCTGGTGATTGCAACATTAAATCTTTTTGAGTTGGACAAGAAACCCAAAAAATATCGATCATCTTCAAATCTATCTTCATTTGACCGTACCTAAAAGCACACAGAGATGAATTAAAAAAAAATGGCGTTTTAAATTTTTGGGGGGCATGAAGAGAAACTCTTGACATATGAAAACATTTAGAATGTTAAAAAGCAGAACGACCTCCTTTTTGGTTCAAAAAGAAACAGGAGGAGGAGAGGGAGGAGAAGGGGGAG